TAACCGGATTAGAGTCAAAAAAACACGTTGTTAGTCTCTTTGAAGCCAGATTTACGATTATAATCCTTATCATTCTAGTAAAACTTAACGTTGTTGGACTCACAGTGCTTAGAATTCTTTAACGTGTTGTAGGAAGTCTGAAAGACCTTGAACTGCTTCTAGATATGATATTCACGACACTTATAGTACAAATGGCCATCCTCATTCTTCATATATCTCAGAACCCATTTTACTATTTTCTAGTGTACCTTCCTTGGATTTCACATATAATTGCTCACCTTGTCCATCGTTAGAGCAATATCAGATTTAATGCACACTATCAAATACATGAAATTGTCGACAGCTTATTTATAGGAAACACATGATATTATTCTTTTTTCAATGGCAATTGTATGACATTGAGCTACGAAAAGTCGAAAATGTGATTTCAAAGGAGTTCACATTTTTTTAAAGTCGGCCATGTTAAATTTGTCAAGTATACGACAAACATACTTGACTTGACTCAATCATAGCGTATTCTTTTCAAAATTACTATACGCATAATATATTCTTTGAGTCCTCCATATTTTTTATCTTAAATGCAAACTTGAAATGGCTTTTGCATTTATCAACATCATATTAGTTTTTTTGTCAAGATGAGCATGTCATCAACATAAAATACTAGAATAATGAAATCAAACGTCTCATCATTCACCTTCTTTGTGTAGATTCAAGGATAATGCACACTATGTAAAAGTTTTTGTGTCTCCATGAATTCATCAAAACGCGTATTCCACTATTTAGAAGCTTGTTTTAGTTCATAAAGTGATTCTAGCAATCTAGAGACCAATATTTCTTGATCTTTCATCTCAAAGCCAATTGGTTGTTTCATGTAAATCTACTTCTCTAAATATTTATAGAGAAAAGCTATACCCACGTTCATTTGGTCCATAACAAGACTAAATATTTTGGCCAGTGCACATACTAGAAAAATAGTAGCATAGTTTGCTATGGGTGAAAAAACTTCATCGTGATTCACACCTTTGTCATATGTGAAACCTCCTGCTATCAATCAGTCTTTGAAGATTTTTGTCTTATCATTTGGTAAATTGTCTTTCGATTTGTACATTTACTTGGAATCAATCCATGCTTGATCTTTAGGAAGATCAACTAGCTTCCAAGTTTTTTTTATCAATCAGCGACTACATCTAATGCTTCATAACAACATTCCACTCAAGCTTATTCACTAAAGCTTGAATTTCCATTAAAAAAATACATTTTTCTTCTTCCAGTATCAACACAATATCATACTCTTACTCTCTATCAAAATCACGATCTTCAAAATGGATGAGTTAGTCCATACATCAAACTTGTAAAGAGCTCTATTAGCACCTATTAGAATATTTTGGTACTTCTCTATCGTCTAATGCAGATACATGATGCTCGTCTACAATAATATGCTACTTTAGTTCGTATTCTTTAAAAACTTGCTCCACCTATATAGTGGCTTCTTCTTGTGACAGAACATAAGTCATATAATAATCAAACTCTTTCACAACAACATCTGTGACTGGAGATTTATCTTTTGAATTCAGGGTGGTTAAAATTTTATTTTATTTTTTCATTGATCTGGTATGATTGAAATAAAAACTTCATCTGAAAATAACCTTACAAGCTACTAGATCCCATAATTTGTTACCCCTTATCACTAGCATATCCAAGAAAATGATATTTTTTGGATGTTAGATCCAACTTAGTCATATTCTTCTTGGATTGAATGTGTGAATGTTTTGAAAACAACTATGATATTGTTTATGACAATTTTTCAATATGCAATGGAATGGTACTAATAAGTGTGTTAACCTTAATAGCAAAGTGCAGACACAACAATCATATATTGTATGTTATAAATTCTTCGCTTTTGATTTAGTTTAAAAGGAGTGTTTTTCTGATTGCTTGCTCTTGTTTTTCTGATTGCTTGCTTGTGATAGCTGTTTCTCTAATATGCCTGATTTCTCCTTGCCTACTCGGCTAGTTTGATTTGCGCAGTGGTCACAAATCTTTTTTATCACCTATGTAACTAACTTCGCCGGTTAGCGCGTCCGAAAATTCATTCAACTGAGCTTTGATCTCTCAAACCTTCTACAGGTAAACCTGTTGAATTTTTCATCACCGCTTAACCTCATTACTATTGTTCGTCTAGACCCGTCGTCTAGCTTTTGCCTCGCTCTGGAACCTTATGTGCGCGCGACATGCTTGAATTTCTCTTTACTGCGCAATCCGCATGAATTTTCTGAGCTAACCTTCCACCTATTCACCTCGAGACAAAAGAAAAAAAGAAGTAAAAAGAGCAGTTTAGAAAGTATGGAATGTATCTATCAAACAAGAAAAACATATGTCATGAGAGTAATCATCCCACACTGATCAGTAATCATCCGGACTGTCACAAACCCTGCTCTGATATCAATTACCAATGATAAATAAAAAATCAAGAAGGAAACATAATTGGTATAAATTCACAACAACAAGAGTAAACACCAGATGTAACTTGGTTCACACTCTAAAGGCTAAGTATAGTAACAAAAGTGAGGCAATACAAGAAAGAGTCGAAAGACACAGGTACTGAGTCCTGGAGAGCATATCTTAGTTCATGGGGAGAGAAAAGGGATGGGGAATATATACCCAACCGTGACAGTCCGAGAGATACAGAAACCCTAGCGGACAGCGGCTGGTCCTGACAATCTGTCACGACCACAACTATAGTACAAAGTACATACAGCAAAGAACGTGAATGTACGGAGGTCCAAGAAGTGGGTAGTAATACGACTTCTAACATATACGATAGTAAATTCACTAACGCGTTTGATTAACAAGTGAAATGTTGTTAGAGTTAAGAAGTCTGGAATTAAATACCCCATTCTAGATAGTGAATTAGTTGAACAAGAGTTAACCTCAACAACATATCCATCAAGAAGATTTAGTTGAAATTTTGAACTCAAAAGTGAGAAAAAGGAGTGTGAGACTTATCCAGTATTGAAACTAGTATAGGAAGAAAAAGCTCTTGTAGAGCAAAAGGTACCAAGTTACAATAACAATACTTCCCTCAAATGCGATCACTCCGGATATATATTCCAAGTTTCAAAACTCTTCCATAAAGAAGGCTACCAACTGATATTCAAGGAATATCCCACCAAGTTATACATGTATTGAACCAGAAGGCATGGTGGGGCTAGGCACCAAAATCACTTGCACAGATAAACTTAAATATATCTCAACTAACTAATTCAAACAATCTGGACATATTTTAGGGAAAAACTGACAACGACGGTGTCAATTTGTGATCGCTATCCACTACCCAACGTCATATGTAGAGCAAGTAATAAATTTAAGTTGGCAGAATACACATTAACATTGCTCGGTGTTGGAAGTTGTGGAGTTTGCTCAATCAATGCGGATGAAATCGAAATGAACACACAAAAAATCAGCATGCGGGACGGGCAAGTGAGACAGGGCTAATGCTGAAACACACCGAACATTCTCTGCAACATGAAGCTTGCGAACATTCTCTGCAACATGAAGCTTGCGAACATTCTCCTTACACCAAAATCATGAAAACAAATATATATATTTTTTAATCATTCTTCATCACGTTTTAATTTTAGAAAATATATTTCTTTACATTAACCAGTTTTTCAAATTTTCAATGTTTCATTAGCTCAAACACTTAAAATTTTTTATTTTACTTGGGATTCATACTTAATAAATTTTTTAAAAATACAAAAGGTTCCCCTTTTTAAGATTTCGTGAATTTAAAAATTACAATATTTTCAAAAACATATATCTGAACAAACCCATATCCTATCGTCTACTGTTTAGCAGATATGTGGGATTATCTGTGGAAAATAAAACAAAAGCTTATACTAAATCTGTGGCAAGTCGAAGCAGATAAGTGAAGACTTTGGGAGGTTAAGCGTCACCAAGGTCAACGCACATGACACATTTCCAGATGAACCTGGAAACGTGGCTGCCGCCAAATTCGCCATTTTCTGCGAAGGTTTTGTTGAGGGCGTCGCGGACACACCAAAGCGCATTCGCGATTTGCAATTCCTGACTCGGCCTGGCTCACGACGACGAGGATAGTGCAGAGCACGACCGGCGTGGGTACGAAGGGCAGGTAGCTCCGGGATGGGGCACAACTGGGCCAGCCGCCCGGCGGCGAAGGAAGTGTTCGAATGAATTGCGCGGTTGACTTTCGACACGAAGATCGGACAGCGATCGATCGCGGTCGACTCGGCGATGATCCGACAGGATCTCGGATCGCCCCGCGAGTCGTCGTCGGATGATCTCCGGGATGTATTTGCGCCCTGGATTCTTGCAGTACTGCACTGTCGCAGGGCCTGGCATCGTGCAGGCGCTGGCGAGTCGATTTCGCATCGATTGGCTCGGGAAATTGGCCCGGATTGGATCGCGATTAGAACTGCCGTGGGAAAAATTGTGATGGGAGATAAATCCCTTACCTCTGTCTCACCTTGGGTGATCTCTCTTCGGATTTCGTTTTTATTTTGCAACTCGAGCGTTCTTATTTCTGTCCCCAAATATCGAAATCTTGCTCCGTGTAATGTTCTGTCTTGACCAGGCACTGGAATTTAAGAATGTGGAGAATTAGAGAATTTTAGGATGTCTAGATCGTGATGGTCGACAGAATCTTGATCGGCCGGAATGGGAAGTTCATCCGATGGAGCCTTTCCGTGGGGGGCGCGTGGCTCGAGATCTTCCGAGCTTTAATGTGTAGCTCTGACGGGTTCATGGAATTATGAACCCAAATATCGAAATCTTCCTCCGTGACTCGGCTCCTTGGGAGTCAGACGAGGGCCGCATGGTAAATGTTGGGAGTAAATGCTCGTGGTGTTCGTGTGTCCTTGGCCCTCCGAGGTGTCGTGGGACGCGTAATCTTGTAGAACAAGTCAGAGCCCGAGACATGTAAGCCACCGTATAAATTCTGTCAGCCGTCTGTGCAGACCATCGATCAGTTCAGACAACTCCTTGTGATCTGTTGATTACTGCCCTCAACCTAGCCCCAGGTCAATTCCCGACGACTCTCATGGTGATGAAGTCACCGAGCGTACTGCCACTGCTGGTGGTATTTCTGCTGGTTTGTCAGTCAGCTTCAGCGCAGCAGCAGCAGCAGACGTACAACATATGGCGTCTCCTCGCCAATAATCTCAGCCCCCTGAAGCTCGAGGTTAGGGTTTGCACTGTCGTGGGATGCTACATCAGGTCCCCTCAGAGCATTAACACGCTGGGCCCCAAATCTGTTGCTCTCTACGGCGTGGATGACCCATTCCAGAAGGCGTACATGGTCATCACTGACCTCAAATCCGGACGAAAGTTGGCACGAACTTTGTGGACTGGTCAGCTCGACGCTTCCAACCCTGCCAACATCCTTTCCGTGGTGCCGAAGTCGGCCTCCGTGACCGAAATTTGGTTCTCCGATTTATCAGGAAAGAACGTTCTTCTCGGCGTGTTGCAGTGACCAATCACTGTTTATGTAAGTCACCTCCAGTCCGTCCCCTGTTGTGGATAGCCAGCACTTCCTCCTCGGTACAAATTGATCAATTTCAATTCACCCCGCAAACTCTCATCCAAATGAGGTTTTCTTTGACCTTGCCTGCCTGAAGTTGTGCATTCTACGAGTTCCTTTACTTTTTGCAACAAGAAGTAAAATTGGGACAGATTGGTGGGTTCAATGCCAATTTCTGGCACCAAGTCGCTACCAGTAATTGGTATTGAACCTTGAAATCTCGTTGCTTCTCGTTTGCGTTTTTCATGGGATCGTTCGAGAAATCTCTCATCCAATTGAGTTTTTCATTGACCTTGCCTGTGCGAAGTAGTCCATTCGATGAGTTCATTTCCTTTTGCAAACAAAGTAAATCTTGGGACAGATTTGAGGGATCAATGCCAATCACTAGCACTAATTCGCTACAAGTGACTGAAGTCGAAGAATGAAATCTTGTTTCTTGTCGTGTATATTTTTCCTGGGATCATCGAAACGCTTCTCGAATGAAGCAATTTTTCTCATGGCTGAGTCGTTCTGCATTTTTCATTTGCTACATGCTCGCCGAGGTCGTTGAGTACCATGATTCTTGGCTTGTGGAAGCAAAGCTGACATGGGTTAAAGGTTTGTGACAGAGAGCTCGGCGGGAGGGCTTACGGTGGACACTTAGGCACTCGAGACGAGGAAGGGCGTAGCAAGTGACCAGGCTCCTCGTAGCCAACGAATGGCTTAATGCCTTTCCTCGTGTAAATTTTAACTCCCGACGAGTTCCCTTCCGTGTTCCGCTTGATTTTTCTGATTTCAATAAAACTTCGCCGAGCGAGAACTCCGTTCGATGGAGCTCGGTTGTCGTCAATCTTCTGATGCAGCTTGTACATGAATGATTTGTGCATCGTCGACGTCCATGCAGGCGGGCGACTTGCGGACGAAGCTTCAACTCCGCCTGTGTGTAGAAATCTTTCAGTTTATACGTGAGTAGGGTTTCCTCTGTTGGTCTCGAGATAGCACGACACCATCTCGATGCAAACTATGTTTATGTCATAAGAGCAGGCATTTGAGAGGAATTCAAGGCTTCTCTGATCTCACCGCATGTCAACATTGTAATGTCGTGCTTCTCTCATGGATGCTTACCTCGCCCCGAAGCCGCCACGGAACTGATATGAGCCGCCGTCGTAACAAGTGCCTAAGATTGCCTCGTTCTAAACACAGCATGCTCCGTGATTCGGATGTCGTGAAGCATCAAAACTCCAAGGGTCAAATCCTCTGATTACAGTCTGTGATGCCACGGGACATTTGCCCACGAGCTACTTTCGGGTAGCATATCAGTCACACGGTAACCCTGTCAGTACACACTCAAGAACCCCAAAGCAAGGATCAAGAAATTCTATTCCACTTTTGGCCGAGGCCTCGGACATGCCTGCCGAGCTATTCAATCGCTCTTGCGAAAAGCTGGCCACTGCGATACTCAATGCCTGTATCCTGTTCAGGGAATTATGCTCTTTCCTCGTCTTACATACATTGATGAACAGGTCAAATTTACGCATTCACATCGCATCTTCGTTGCGAGAAGAAGCACACCTTAATAAGCTCACGATGTGGTGATCGAACAAGCAGCATCCCAAACAATGCAATTCCGGAGCTTTCCTCTTAAGCTTGTTTCACTTTTGCACTTGGGATCGAAATCTTCGACACTAGTTGACTTGAGAATCATGAAGCAGCACTGGATGTTCTGCCTTGTCTCTTGGGGAACTCCCTTACGGACTTTCGGCTTTGGCTATACATGATTCGCGTAGCAATCATGATAAGCCGCCTTAGAGCATCCGAGGTGCCGAGAGGAGCTGGAAGAAACCTGCAGAACATAACAACATGGATCAATGAAGAAAAGGGGGCGAATCTCCAATTTTACATTATTCAGCTGCGATTCGCATTTGAGTTGGCACGTCAGTAGATCTGCGAGGGGAGATGAGAGTGAGATGGTGATGCTGTCCTCTAAGGCCCGAGAGTCGAAAACAGAGCATCTCTTTACTTGCACCGAGGTTTGTCGACGAAAGCTCTGATCTGGGGAATGCTGGAACCACAAGCCTCGACTACGTGACCCTGGAGACTCGGTGATTCTAGCTGCGGGACAAGATACTTGCATTATCCATTATGTCGTACAGGGTAGCGCTATCTTCCCACACTCCCCTCTCTGCACGCTTGCGAGGAATGTATGGAGTTCTTTTCACTTGATGCTGATTTCTTGCTTCTCTGTCCAGATTCCAGTCATCATGGTGAACATGTAGTTTGGTGGCGACTCTCGCATCTACGCTGTCATATGAAACCAGCATCCAAATATGGCTAGTTCAAGCTCGAGGTATTCCGCTTAGTGATCCTCGCGGCCATTTTGTGAGCCCAAACTTTACGTCGAGCGAGCACACCGAGGTTTGGCAGGAACATTGGCAGTAATGTAGGCTTGCAATAAAATTAAATTTTGGTGCGGAGGTAGGACCCTGAATTCCGGGGAACGAACGGCTGAGAACAGTCAGCAGTTTTCTTCGACGGAGGTATGAAGGTTCGATGATTCATGCAACTCCAGGTTTGTAGAGAGGAATTTTTCAATAACTTCCGGATACATTTGTGCTGCTTGAATCGCCGGGCGGAGACCAGATGTTGAGTGATGAACAAAGCAAAGCGGGATCAGAGCTATAGGAATCGCGGTGGCCACTTTTACAGCACTATTATTTAATTTGTAGTTCGTAGAAGTAAGGAGATGCGGTCAGTTTGTCGATATTAGGGTGTTGCTGTTAATTCATTATGGAATAAGTCAACCGATTCCTCATAATATGCACAAAGTGGTCCCTGCATTCTGACTGCACTCCTGGTTTGCACAATTAGAGTTTTATCTAGCGTAGTGCTTGTCTTGATTGCGCCGCTAAGGGTCCATCACGTCTTGAACAAGAAACCTAATCAACTTTGTGATTGTATCCTGTGTCTGAAGGTCGTGCAGTTATTAGTGTAGAAGTCAATTCACTGTTGATTTCGTGCGTACTAACCTCTATGCCGGGGTGTGTTTATCAGCAAGTCATGACCAGACCTTCGTCATTTCGTTAAAGCCTCTGAGGTTTCCATGGCTACCCTGGGTCCTGCACCTGACCCAGTGAACGTCCTTCGTGGCCATCGTTCTCCTGTTACCTGTTTAGCCTTCCATCCACTCTCTGGCTATCTCCTCTCCGGGTATTGCTTGATTCGCAAGCTTTGGAACCTCATTGCAGTTTCAGTTCTAGTCTGGTCATATTACAGGACGGATAACATTACAACCGTTAGGAGTTTTCTGTGCTCCTTACTTACGCATTTCCATACATCTCCGTCAACGAGTAGATTTGTATCTCAATTTATCTTGAAGAATGATGGGTGGATGCGCTTTTGCAGAGATGCCCAAGGTGAATTGAAGATATGGGACGTCGTTCGTCAAAGACAAATCTCATCATCCAGGTCCTAAAATTTGCTCTTACGTTTGAACAATTCATGTTGAAAGTAGCTGCTAACTAAATGTATGGAAGATGACGACTCGAGGACAGTCCATTCGCTCGTTACTCACCATGTTGTCTATCAGAGTTCACACATATACTTCGGGAGTCATAGGCATTGGTACCGCACGTCATTTGGAGAACAGGTTTTTAAGGTACATTCCGTTGAGTTAAATATAATGTTACTTAAACTCATGTTAGTTAAAAAAGGTTGAGATCGCTACATATTGCAACGTTTACCGTGGTTCTTCCCTTTTTGTTGGGCAATGTTCTGTCAACGTTGATTTCATGTCAGTTAGCTCTCTTCTGAATATTGTTTCTTGTAATCTACAGCCAAAGCCGTGATGGAACTGTGAAATGTTGGCAGTTATCGGATGGAGGCCTGTCAAGGTACTACTGTGTCTGATACTGTACTCCTTTGTGTAATGTGTTCCTTCTGTCAAGCTCAGAGTCGAAAACGTGTGTTTTTGTGTTTTGTTTTTGGGTCCTAGTCTTGATATTTCTAAGATGATGAGACAATGCTCGAAGAGTACAAGCTATGTCGGCTCGCACTAAGACATGTCAATAGATTTAAATTTCCTGTTTGAGTTTCAGTAAGCAAGATAACTGCCATTTTCCTTCATCAATTTCTTCTTCCCCGCCGTGAATTTTATTGTGGAATGTGTTTTGGAATACCTTACAGTTCCAATGCTGTGTGTCTACCAGGGATCCGTTGCTATCTTTCAATACAGAATCCTATCACTTTTGCAAGCTTTCCATACCAGAGCTTAAAACAGAGGAAGTAGATACAGAGCGTACTGACGCCGAAGAAGGTAGACGATTGGAAGTGGCACCTCAAGGTCTCAGTGATATTTCAAGAATACAAAAATTGCTAATCTCAAATTCGATTCGAGATCCGGAAAGTTAAGTTCGGTTCCAAGTTAAGAAAGTAGTTTTCTTTGTCCTGGAAGTGAGCATGATACAAATGCTGCCTATCGCTCCAAATTTGCGACCAGTGAATAATCTGATCAAGCAGATTTGTAAACGAACTTGTCTTCTATTAGGCTCAAGCGCAGGCGGAGGAAGAACGCTCGTTGCTCTGGTTGGAGAGGACCCATCCGTGGTAGGTTCCCGAAAAGAATGTCGTCACTTAGCTCTAGGTCACATTCTTACTGGCGTTTTCTACGACATCATACTCATGGAGTCCCTGTTTCACCTCCCTGTTCATCTCTTCGTACTTCCCAGGCTGTTAATACTTGTTGGCTTAGCCAGGGCTTGGGATTCCTGGTATTCAAGTTTTCGCAGGCAGGACACAATGAATACATATTTCTTCGTCATCGATCAACGTAAAGGTCGAAGCATCTTGAGAGTCTAGCTTCCAGCATGTTTGACGTCTTTGTAGGTCGGGTGAAGTACTTTTTACTTCCATCTTACCTTTTATGTGCAGTTTGTTAGTTAATTGTGGTTAAAAGCTGAACTGCACAGATTTTGGAGGCAGGTTGAGATATGGGATGTTGATGGCGGAACAAGGGTTGGCCAGTTGAGGCAAAGCAAGAATCAGAATGATACCGCCTCTCAAAATGGCGGTGGATCAGCTGCAGGTTGAAGTTTAAGTTGATGATTCCCAAATTGAATGTGACTTCCCTTTGTTTTAAAACACATGAATAGGATGTTAATTGGTTGTTGTTGAACTCTGCAGGCATGTGCATGGCCCTTCATGCTTTCCAGAAAGAGGCTGGAGGTCATTTAGAAGTCTTATCTGGGTACGGTGAAAACATTAAGTGTGCTGTATATGAGCTGCATTTATTTTCTTACTTCTTCACCTGATATACGCATGACATGGAGTTCTGGTTCTGATTGTGAACTCGCCGTTCAACAAAACCAAGCATCAAGTCGTAACAAGTCGTAATAGCGACGCCAGTGTCGGAAGTCGACATGGATGTATACAGACTTCCCAATGCTTTTCCGTTTTCTTTGTAATTTGGAGACTGTGTTCAACAAGCAACACTTGAGATCCATCAGAGGATCGTATCCGTAACTTTAGATCTTAAGGTACGGCACTGATACATACCGGTGACAGGGAGCCCTCTTTTAATATCATATCGATGACTGTATGTCAGGCTTAGCGAGTATTGCAAAGTGCGCCACCGTATTCCATAGATAGGAAGTTAGCGATCGTTGGAGATGCATATGCAAGAGAGATATAAGAGGAGCGGTGAGAGGGATAGTTGAGTATCGTGAGAGGGATTAGCCCTCTCTTTCTCCTTCTGACTCCTGGATTGGGCTTTTTCCGGTCATTGTTGGCCTCCGCTCTCTTTCCCCTTAGGTTCGTGATTGCCATCACCTTTCACATCATTTCTCTCCTTTTTCCGCGTTTCACTCGCATTATGGTATCCCGTTATCAGACTTATGTATAATTCATTGAACAGTTTTGTAATTTACTGATACCTTCTTTCACCATGATAGCCTCCAAGGTCAAATTCTTGGGAACAAGAACCGTATCGTCACAAAGATTTACAGTCCAACTCTGACTTTTACCAGTGCTGTGATTTGCAGGTATGAAAATGGGAGCATGGCACTCTGGGATCTTCGTTTCTCAAATCTGCCCCGCATAAATGAGAAGATCCATTCCGAACCAGGTTGAAGTTAAAATCTTGTCTTCATACTTCTTCAGTTTAACCTTTATCATGAGGGCATGGAGCTTTGTCTGCTCCCGAAATACATCAGAGATGACTGTCTGCAGTTCTGGTCTTTCTCGAGACTATCTTCAGTTCTTAAATTTGCAGTGTCTATGTTCTCAGAAAAGGCTGTTTATTTGACTTTCCCGAACCGGAGTAACAAGATGTTCTCTGGCAGTTTTAAGCATCAAACTGGATTCGACATGTGAAGCTGGGGTCTCCGGATCAGCTGATAACAAGCTAGTAATGTTTTCGCTGGCTCATAATGAGGTACCAAATCCTGTTTCAAAATTTCACGATTACGTTTTGTGAAATTCAAAGAAATCCTGCAGTTTACGCTTGTAGCTCACGAGAAACTTTCGGCCTACCGAGCTGATTGCATGGCTTTGAACTCTACAGAACTCATTTCGGGTAAAAAGTGAGATAACTCTGTCACAACCTGGAATAGCGGATATAAGTGTAAGAAACGACAACAAGATTTTTGCAACTGCTGGTTGGGATCATCGGTGAGTACGTGTCTTAACGCCGCAGGTTGCGAATCCATAATCTCCACAATGCAGAGTTCATAAACCATGTTCATGCCGCAGCTGTATTACGTTTCTTAGTTGCTGCCAATACCAAACAGTCTGAGCGCGGCCCTACTAAGTAACCGTCCAACAATAATTTCCAAATATCTTTGCATCTAGGCAACCAAATTAGCTCTATCAGTTCGAATCTGAAGTTTTCTTTCTCTTCCACGCTTGTAGGGTTCGAATCTTCGACTATCGCAAGCGGAGGCCTCTTGCAGTACTAAATTATCATGCAGCTGGGGTAATTCTACATCCCTTACAATCCGGGATAACCTCTCTGTCGATTGATTTGTGTGTGTTGTTGTAATTCTTCTGATTTGTCATCTTTATACTCCATTATTCTCAAGGAAGTTCTTGTCACTCATCTTAGGTCACCAATCAAATTCAAAGTTTAAGAAACACTAGAACGTACCACTGACAGAAGGTAACTCGGTGCTCTCTCGGTATATTGTAATCGTTATATTTTGTTTCTCAATTCTAACTCTTGCCCGTGATTCCACGTCTACATGTGTTGCATTCACTTCTGGGTGCACGAATGATCCAGTAGTTTTAGCCATAAAAAAGATAATAGAACGAAGGACTCATGGAAATAAAGCTGTACATTGACTGACTTAGAAGTAGTCCGGAAGGTTGTACTGCCGAATATGTATGTACTGGTCTGCAAGGGATGTCGAGATCATGAATACATATGATGCTCAAATTGACAAGACTCCAGTTTGTATCTCGGTCCAAACCCATGTCCAAGCATTGTCGTCTCTCTTAAGTACTGTCTTGGAACTGTTTTTCTCCGCTGACCCAGTATTTCCAGCACTAGAAGTATCATTTTTGCCAGGAATAGGGAGCTGGGCTTCCATTCTAACTATCTGTCGTACGAAGGACGGCCTTGAGATGTACAAGAGAGTGGTTTTACAACTCGTTTTTCCGTGCAACCTTGTATGGGGATCTAATCTGGATCTTGGTCACTAATCTTGCCTAAACCAGGTCACAGGAGTTGCCTTTTCCGAGGATCGAAAGATGCTTGTGACTTCATCCGATGATTCGACAATCGCTTTGTGGTCAATCTATCCTCCTCCCGAGTTGCTCAAGTTGACCGACAAATTCCAGTCCGCACTAGCCGTGCGGGACGAGCTTGGGGACCATCACCAAGTGTTTAAAACTCGGCAGGTCCAGGATTAGATCATTTTCTTGTACTAGCTGACAATCCTTGTCCTCAAAGCTTCCCTCCAGTTAGTATGACTCACCAACCAAGATTCCTGCTGATGTCCATGAAACTTCGGTAGGACATGTTCAGTGAATAACGATCAGTTATAGTTATGTGATGTTCTCGTCGAATGAGGCGAAATTCGGACCTCACTTTTGTCCATTGTAGCTTCGAACCCATAGTATGCATTTGATTTCTTCGAATCAAAGTGCACTCATGTTATGCTCTCCTAGTACTCACCACTATGTATGGTCTTATCAAGAGACGTGCTTTTATTGTATGACGGATGGATGTTGCGCACAGATCAAGAGCGTGAACGCGTTCTTGTTTTGAAGAGCTCTGCTGTTTTGTAATATTGAGTATGATGATGCGAGGTTTGTTGCTGAGATTATTTTGAGTTGTCTAGGTCTTTGTGATGCACACTGTGATGAACTTTTACAAGTCTGTACATATTGTAGGGGGTTCTATGGACATACAAAAGATCGTTACCCAAAGTCCATGCGAGCTCGCCCCATTGACTCCATCAAAGCAATGCCCTTTTAAAAGATCTGTAGCAATAGTGGACTCTTAGCTAAACACTGAGAGAATTGTTCGTTGAACTCTATAAAGGAAGGTCCAAAACGAAATTGATGAACGGTCGTTAACTAGGTAATAATATTTAAAATGGTCATGACTATTGAGAGAACCTGTACTAATCTGTGCCAATTGGGTTAAACAATTGAACTATTCGTTCTTACAAACACAATTTTCCACCTCAATATCTTACTTGCGATATCCACGAAACCATGATAATGTGATGTAATATATGTTTTCTTTATATTACTTTTCCTATGTTTGTCACAATAACATTTGTTCCGAATAAAATGTTGGCAGATGTATTGAACAAAGAGACTCGTTTATGACAGACATAATTTGGAGTAAAACGTTTGGTTGAAAATAAATAATACCAATGTAGACATCTGAGCTAGTCTATTTTGATGTTAAAAAACACTTATTCATAAAGTATATTGAAGTTGTTTTAATGCAGCCATAATTTCAATAAATACTGTACATAATTTCACATTTATTTTAATGTAAGGGTAGATCATCTATCTTAATTCGTTTTTATTCCAAACTGTAAGAATACATCATTGACTAATTATAATATTCAATGATATTTTATTTATTGCTTATGCTCTATTTCAAATAAATTTGTAATTAGAATCAGATATTCATTTTCAGCCGTAAGAAGTTTGCTAATTCTAAAATCTAATTATATACCTGTATGTCATATATCGAACTATTCTACATATTAATTACTTATGATTTGATACATCATAGTGTGTAAAGAAATAATGAGAACTCTAAATTCATTGATTTCAAATGAAAATTGGTCTGCAAGACAATAAATATCAATGAAGAATTGATGGGCATTGGGATGAACATTCATTTTATAAACTTGATTTATGCAACATTTTCAGATTCTTAACAGATTTGTGGAAAGAACTTACTTTCAAAGTGGTCAAATAATATCATCAGTGGTTAAATTTGTGAATTTATGTAATATGTCATTGCCTTGTCTCACATGTGTTCAATCATCAAGAATCTCTATTGTTCATTCAATATTGCGACTTGTAACACATATAAGAACATAATTGAACCCGAAAAAATATTCTTCACGAGGACAACTTTCGAACGTAAGAAAATTTATATGAATTGAGTAAAATGTTGATTGCTAAAAAATACAGGTCGTTTATTGCAACAATTGAATGAATCACATGAATTTATATATTTTATCAACGGTGACATGATGTATGTAGCAACTCACTTTTGTTACTTTTGACATCGTAAGATATGATATCAGACATGAATAGATCATGTAAAGCCAGAAATAAAATTTTAATGTTTGAATTAGAAGTATATCAAGTATTTAATATACATCTAAACTAAATTTAAGATTTTAAAACATATCAAGTACATATGGATATAGATAATTGTGAAAGCTTATTTCTTCTCCTTGTCATCCTTAATGTTCTTGATAACCTGTTTTCTTAGGTTAGTGAGATCTCTTTGTTTTTCTTAGTTCTTCTCTAGTTCTTCTTATGTTTCTTTCATCAATCTTACTGAAAACTTATTTGGTATCCTAAACTTATCTTCAATATCACATAATTCGTATGGTTTCAAAGTTTCACTGATCGTTCTCACTAAGAATTGAAGAAGACTTCAACATGGAAGATGCCCATGTTTTTTCCACCGTAGTTTAACTGCATTCATCATACTTCTACGAGGTGCACATGACCCAAACCTCGTTCATTTTGATTTGTGGTTCAGGAATAAAACCCCAGACCTTAGTAATTTAGTTTTTGGTTGCTTCGCTCTAAAACTTTTCCCTAGATAGCGTCCTTTCAGGGTTACTCGCCGTAGCTGAGTTCGGGATTGCAGAACAAAGATTTGAATTGTGAGTTCACAGCGTTTTCTCTTGCACGTTCGAAATATGTGATCAAAGAAGATATTTTGTCCATGTATCGTTGTAACCAGGTTGTATGGTGACATATTCCACCAGGTAGTGGGTAATGAGATGCATTCAGTAAAGAGAGACGATGGACTGGAAGGATAGTCTCGATGCGGATGAAGCACATTGAGGATATTTAGAACTTCTCAATTCGAGAATTGGACTAAAGGAGGAACAGGAGGAGCCGCAATGAGTAGGACTGGACACTGGAAAAGAGTAGCCGCACGTAGACGATGCACAAGCCACAAAAGACAACGGAAGCCATGGAACAAGATTTTGTAGCCTAGATGTTGGGTAGCAAAAAATCGACATCAGAGGATGATAGCGATTGAGAAACAAAGTTGAGTGATGAGGGCAATTTCTATACCATCGCGAGTATCACCATGCACCAATCTAAGAAGCTGTACGAAGACCACAGAGCATCAGCAAGGAACAATTGCTAGATTGAAAGACCAGCATTTTTTCATCATGGTCGTCCACACGGGTCTCGAGTAAACAGGTGGAAGCAGCATTAGAATTCACCACGAGTTCCGGTGTTACTCTAGAACTGCAAGGACAAACTCAGACCATGCCGTTCAGCAACTCATAAAAGGTACAAAATATGGGTGGAAGAGGAATGTTGCCTTCAGAGAACCCGAAGACGTGGAGACAAAGGAGTATTTCACAATTGCCCAGATTGACGATTGAAGTAAGATGATTACACTGAGGCCCTGTTTGATTGTTTTGGCCTCAAGGGGACTGTCAGGGGAAAAAAATGACAGGCGAAGAACAAATTCAAAACAAAAGAAAAATTTGACAATAATGGGATGGGAATCAGTTGGGCGTGACTGCAAACATGTGTAAAGCAAAGTGCTGCTAAAACTAACGTATACAACCGGACTCTTCATGATTCACTCGATACTAGTCAATTTGATAGAATAGTCATCACTACCTAGCCGGAAATTGCTGCAAGAAAACCATCAAGTCTTTCCGGGGTCTTTTGGAACATTCGTCTTCTCGTTTGAGTTTTTTAAATAAACCACAAATGTCGAGCTCAAGGGACAGATCTTTGGAGTCTAAGATGTATTTTCTTCCAGCTCTAGAACTCACAACGAACAAGAACACTCACATGCGACTAGATGCTACACGTACGACATAGTCCAGATTGAAGATTGACTTCCTAGTCGGGACGTAACACATAAACATGTCAATAAACGAATACACGCATGCACTCAGCTGTGCGTTAAAAATTCTCGAGATTCAAGGAACTTTCCACGGAAGAAATAATGTGGCTCTTAGACGCTGAACAAGTAAACATATGGTCGTTCCTTCGATGCTCCATTAGGTCAAGTCAACTAAACTGCACTAAACAGATGCTTACAACCTGGAAGTGAACTTTCGGCTGCTTCATGGCGATATAAGACATTGGAATCTAGCCAAAAGACCATCCAAAGCATATTGGACATAGAACTTTCCATCTATTTACACATCAACAACTCTTGACAACTTTTGGATTCTATTCAACAAGAAGTCTCCTTGCTTAATAGTAGCCTGGTATAGAGCATTCTTTGCATCAAGTCTGTTCGTCTCCAAAACTCCAGCTACCTTGTCAATTTTACAAGTGAGACGACCAGCTGCAATGAAACGTGAAAGTTCCCTGCAACGAAAAGAGAGAAAAACACCATTCAACATTAGTGTTAACAGCTGCACAAGGCTTGGCGTACACATCTGAAAGCTGCTCCAACCATGGCAAAATGATGAGTCGGTAACAGCTAACCTACTTCAAATCGTGTTGAGTCTCACCGAAAATAACTGCTACTCTCCATTATCTCCAAAATAGGCATTCATCACAGATATAGGTAACTGCACAAAGCCTTGAAGCGTATGAACTCACATGTCCAAAAAATTTATGCTGACACCGAAGGCCTTAGCCATTGCCTCCATTGTCACACTCTTGTATGATTCCAGAAACTGGGAATAGGCAACCACCCTCACCTCCCTCATGTAGTAACGGAAATGAGGAAACAGGTAGCGATCAAGTCGAATCTGATCAGTCAATCCAGCTGCAGATTTCGTATATTAGACTTTCATATATAGGATTTCGAGATGCAGGCAGAAGACTAGAGACCCAAGCATATGTGCTACTCAGATATTAACTGACGTCTGAATGACTACTCTTCGTGCCCACAATATACGAAGTACGCAAACTCTGTTCATTAATAAATTCCTGTCAAAGGCTGAAGAACATAGCTGGGCGGTGCTAGGGAGGAAGAACAAGAAATAGACGTGAGGAATGTAAGCATATGAACATCTTCCTTCCAAACTAGAATCAGATTCTTTTTCTGGCCCTCAGCATATAGATGACAATCCATAAACTACACTTTCCGAAAGGTAGCACATTTAACGTTGTGTGCGGCTGTAGGCATCATACTCTAACATTTTGAAAGAAAGCATACATGAAAAAGGTGGCCGCTATAAAACTCAGGTAGTGGAGATGGTTTACCAAAGGCGTGGAAGAAAGTCTTGTACTGACAAGAATAGAGTGCATTGAGAAAGTCAGAAAGAAAAGGTATCTTTCCGATAACAGTCAATATTTCAGGAGCATCCACCACCTGCCGAGAAAGCAGCAATCACGTTTCAGACAATATTTGAAATGCTCCCTCAAAACTACTTAAATTTTATCAGAATGCAGTTCAGATTCATTGAAATTGAGAAGGCGAACCCAGACTATTAACGATACCGTTTGCTAGATTAAATCATGGCCGAATGCTTCTCCACTGGAGATCATCCAGTAACATACCTTCTGTTTCAGAGAGACTCTATCAAGAGATATTATGCTCGTCAACACTGTGTAGAAGATAAATGTATCGTATGAAAACAACTCATAAGTTGTAAACGTTGAAATAGACTCCAATAAAAGTGTTGCGGCCTTCTTAAAATTTCGGGTGGCCATGCAAAAGAGACCTTCATAAACTTTGAGACGATTTTTCCTCTCCCAGTCACCTCCCTCGTCGAATAGGCTGCCATAGAGTAAGTGACAGCGTAAGTTCTCCAAGAACAGAAAAAAGCCTGATCCTACGAGTTGATTCCGAAATTCTCCACTCTTACCTCTTCGCCTTGTCGATGTTCTTTGAGATGAGATCAAAATCAAGGTCGAACAACCCGAGTCTCAAGGTGTGGAATACCAAGTCCATCTTTTGACCCACTGCGACAGTCTTCACCTCAGTAATTTTGAGCTGAGCCAATGCTTTCTCCTGATATTCACACACGGATGAAATTAGTGACGAGGTTGATAATACAGAACTCTTGATTAAGAAGCCAAGATTCTTAATTTGAATCTACTGAACATAATACGAAAAAATAATAAGTTCGTACTTTATCGCCGATCTGGATGAAGTAAAGAGCTTTGTTTAGAAGTGCTTCTCGAACTTCACTTTCACCTAAATTTTCCTCCGCATCTTTGATTCTGTAAATCAAACAAAACCGACTATCAGTACAACGATTGCAAGACTTTATTCGACTAGCCTTTAAATATGAAATCCATTCCAAAAGAACACTCGGCAATTCACTGAATTGGCAGATAGCGAATCACAAGCACAAACAACCACCTCTTCCCCTGATTCGGGAACGGTGGTTGATTCGGCAAAAACAACCACCTCTTCCTCAAGAAGGGGCACGGGGCACGACTGCTTCGTGCCCCCTCGTTGAGGAAGGATGATTATTGAAATAACATCTGTTGCAAATCCCTTATATACACCAAAGATGCATTGACGGCTGAGCTTATGGATTTTCTCTCCACTTGAAGGAGCAGCAACGAAATAGTCATTTTGCTGAACCAACAATATAGCAGTTGCATGACAATTGATGGACGAAAACGACCAATCACAAGTCTCGGCGCTAACAATGGCAACCAGTTCGATACGAGACCGCCGTCGAGACGTCGCGACTGGCGGGGCGAATGAGATTGGCATGGCTTACCAAGAGTCGCAAGGTGATGACTTTGAATCAAATCATATAACTCAAATAATTCACAGAAAGCAAAGACCGATTATGACACCAAAATGACAGTCCTACCTCGGGCAATCTAAGATTCAAATTCTCTCATTTCAATAGAAATCCATATGCAGATAGACAAGGAGATCCACTTACTTCTCGTCCAGCTTTGCTACCTCCTCCGCAATGGAGGCATTGAATTCTTCAAACATTTTGGTGTCAAAAGTGGACTCCCAGCTCATCTCTTGCCAAAAACTCTGATACAACCCAGCCATCTCTGTTCCAATATACAACTGTGATCCTTAGTATATGCCAGCCAAAGAACGAGGAGATAATAAAAAACAGAGGGAGTGAAAAGGGAGGAAGAAGCGGGAGCTAAGGGTAATCAAGAGTGAGAAGGGTCTTTCTTATGGTGGACTTGCCCGCAAATAGATGAGTATTGTTCGGATTAGCTCATCCAACTGTTAAGTTTTACTACAGTTAAGTTTGAAACCATCACTAACAAAAGCAACAACCTTGGGCTTTGAGTTTCGGCCAAGAAATTCAGGAAGAGTTTCCAATCCCATCACCTGAGAGAAATTCTGGTATATTATCGCTTTCAGTATGTAGTGGGTGACGCACTTGGCCAGATTATGGGTTCTCTATTTTAAAATATGTGCAAGTTGCGGGGTACTTCCCCATATTGCCCTCTTGTGGTTCAGTCATACGTTATTTTGACATTTACAGGGCACCAAGGCACGGAATCTCCTGAAGATATTGCCTCAAAACACCGGGCTCACGGTATATCCTGAATAGGAAAAGGTCCGATTTGTGATTCGTCTCAGCCGGTTCTGTCACTCTGAGAAGCCACCTAGGTCTTTATCAGCGCAGGCACCAAAACTGCTTTTGGGTGCAGACCTGAGAGAGACCTGGGTCTTTCTCAGTCTGCTCGCAGAATTAGTTTTTGCAGCCTGCGCTTTTGCGTTCATATGAGTAAACCAAGACTTCACAAGGCTCCCTTCTCTTTCACGAGTCCAGCATCCAGTACACCTCCAGGGGTATCTGGTGAGATTGAATATGATGCAGCTGATCCCTCTTGCAAGATCTCACTAACTTCTACGGTAGTCACTGAAATAATCTCACCTCCTTCCGAGGCAGTTCTAAGACCGTGATGAAGAGCGCTCTCATCTATACGTTATCCACCCTAACTAGTTGATTGATATTCGCATTCCATGCTGCACCTCCATACACAAGTGTGTTTTGTGTAATGTGAAAACAGCTGAAATTTGATGTATCCCGGCACCGGACGAACTTCGTGAGATACAATTAAACCTGTTTGTCCAAATTCTCATAAACTTTCTGTATCTGGGATTGTCACCAACAGTCTTCTGCAAATTCACTTCCAAGTCTTTACAGAGAGCACATGTCACCTGTGTCTACGGCTGGTCTTGGTCCTCGCGCTTTCTACGGGAAATAATATATATAATTCTGCACTTTGCCTCCTTGCCCCTGATGTCACAATAGACTTGGGAATAAGCAATCATTCAGGAGCTTCTCTCCAATTTCTACCGATCCGCAGGTCATCGAGCTGGTATGATGCAGTGCCCCACGAAGAAGCCCAAAGCTATATTTCATCGCTCCGGCAGTAGGTTATAAAATATATTCAACTTTGTCGATGAGAGGTGACTGTGCTACTCCTTTGCCCAATACTAGACAATCCACTCCCTTGTCTATTAAAAAGACCCTGCTCTTGGTGTGATACACATTTGAAACCGCTCTCCACGTATTTTTCTGATCCTGCCCTCCCTCGGACGTAGATTTGCACATACCGCCAAAGGGCATCGAACGCCTCAATGAGATTCAAGAAGAGTATAGGTCGACTTTTCTTCCATTTTCTTCCCATAGGCATTTGGCTAAGGGTAAAAATAAGGTCGATTGAGGCTCAGGACTTATAGGGAAACATACAAAGAGGACTAAACCCTATTCAGAGTCTGAATAGAAACCACGGGCAAGTAATGCGGGGCTTCAGTCAGACTTAGACCTAATTGAATCAATTACAGAGCAAAATGCCCCCTCCGTAGAACAGAAGGGTATAAATAATATATACGCTATGAAGTATGTTGGTCGCCCAGTAAGTGGAAAAAACTTCCATTTGATCAAATTTTACTACTGCGTCTCGATCGATCATCTATTCAGGATGAAACTTGAAATATTTTCCAGCAAAAACGCTCCAGGTAAGCAGGAAGATAGAGCAATTGAAAAATTTCCCACAGCACGAGAACAATACAAAGCAAAGTGGGACTCACTATCTGCCACGATAGCCGTGAAGACAGAATCCTTCAGCGATGCAGCAGTCTCGGGCGAGGGATTAGCTTTCCGCAGCAAGAACAAGTGCTGCCCCAGCTGCAACTTGCCATCCTGCCTTGCTTCCGTCTCCTCGGTGACGTCCATACTGTCCTCCGATCGACCTCCGAAAATCGGCTGCTCTCCTCTCGAAAGCTCCCTCCGCGCTTCTGAGAAAAGGCAGCCCGTCCTTCGCTCTCCCTCTCGACGCCAAATCGATCGGATTCCTCGTTCTTCGCTTCTCGTTTGCACTGCAGTGACTCGCTCCAGCCTCCAACGAAGAAATCAACCCTCCTCCCACTTCGGGCTGCTCCGACCACGTCGCCACCAGGACACTGCGTACTGCCCTTCTCTGCACCCCAGCGTCGCAGTCGCGGTGCTCGTGGACTGCGCAGTCGGTGCCGCTGGCATCCTGCAGGTCGCGAGTTCGACCCTGCCTGCTCCTCGCTTGCCAACTTCTTAACAATAAATCTTTGAAAGGGGCCCGCGGGCGCATCGGGCCTCGTCGAATGCGCTGTCGTGACCGTCAAGCCTGGCGCCAAGTGGAGTCATGGCCATGGGCTCTAACCCTAACCCCTAAACACTCACACGTTTAGCATTGTGCTCCTTCTCCTGTTCCGTATTTCGCACTTTGGTACCAGTTGCCCGCTAGCATTATAAGTAGATTAGGGAGCTGGCGTTTCGTGAGCCTCAATAATATGGCATCTCTGACAGTGAAGGATCCGACACATCTATATTTAGTTTTGCAATATTTTGGTGTTTATAATCACTAGATGGTTATCAATAATGAATGGACAATCACATTATGTTAAACATTCAAGAAGATGTGCAGTCAGTAGAGTCGTAATGTGCGTGGGTATTAACTCTGTATTCATTGTTTCGACTTATGTATTATGTTATGATTATGGTGAAATTGACGAAGACAGACTTTAGCAGGTTACAAATTTACATCTTCAACGCAAATTTCATGGTTTAAACGGCTGTAAATCAATGTGCTATGTAAAGGAATCGATAGAAATATTATTCTTCGAGATCCATAGACCTTGCCGAACTTTCTCTTCACGCAGTCGGGAAATGTTGCGTAAAACACGAGATCGTTGTGGTGCCACAGGGGCAACCCGATGTCATTCTTCTTCAATCTTCGTGTTGGTTTTCTTCGATACTTGTGCTCCCGTCGGGCTTTATGAGCGGAATTCGACATGATGCTAATGAGCCAATGAGCTCGTGAAGCCGACCGAGATTGCTGACTTGGGTGCGATTCCTCTTGAGAATGACAATGGCGCTGATGGATCTGTCGCCGGTGCTGGTCGTCGTCCTCGTGCTGCTGCTGCTGCTGCTGCCGCTGCCACTTCTCTTTTGGCGGGGGGGCGAGAAGTTCAGCGGGAAGCTCCCGCCGAAGAGTAGGAGCAACTCCATCTGGGGGGACACGTCTGCTTTCTGGAGCGATCCCTTGGCCTTCTTGGACAAGAAAAGAGCTGAGTTAGTGGCATGCATATTCCCCTTCCGATGCGCATGAGTTTCTTCTCTCGCCTCCGTGATGTCTCTAACAATCTTACCATGCAATTTAGATATTGAGGGATAATGCAATTGTCTGGACTTCGAGACTGTGTCTAGATCCAGTCTATGATACAGGATCGATTTCGTACCCGGCGACAGTCGGTCATCACATGAACTTGTATTGGTGATGGCGGCCTACGACATGCCGCAATTCTGTGAGGGATCTGTCACATGCACGTCTGCATTTTCTGACGCAAATTACGAAATCATATAATAAGGGGAAATCGATTGATTAGGGGGAACGGTGAAAGGATCTTGAAATTGGAGACTGATTCAAAATTTGAAAATCAATTAATCCTGACAACCGAGCGCATTCGTCCACAGGATCATCGAACGATGAATTCCGTGCGTGGTCAGCATTCTCAGAGCGTCTCGTGCGTTTAATCGCGTAGGCTAGTTTAAGATATTCGAATCGAGTCAGAGTCAATTTTGAAACACTTCCCTGTTTAACCGCAGATATGGAGAAATTTATATTTTGAAGCTGTTTGGGAGAGAGAAAATTGTGACTACTACCCCTGAAGCTGCGAAGTTTTTCCTCGTGAATGTTCACAAATCCTTCAAGCATGGATATCGTCCTTCTATAACGAGGATCACGGATCCCGAGGGCAATTTCACCGATCCGGACAACAGCGTGAAAGTGCGAAAGTTACTGAAAACTCCTTTGGGTCCAGGATCGATCCGCGACAGCATTCCTACTTATGATGCCCTCTCACGCTCGATCATTGATACGTGGAAAGATGGTGAAGTTCTTAATGCTTTCCACGAAATGGAAAGGGTATGTTCTTCCTGCATCATCTTCCTCAATGAATTACAATGAATTTCGCACGCGGGAAGTCAGACTCTGGAAATTCAACAACAGCTTAGTCTTGCACGTTGTACCAATCACAAGATCTGCGGTAGATGCCTTTGCCTTCTCTTACCTTACATGGAGCCAGTATCATGTGGTGAAACCACGAAGGAAATTGCGAGCTGAGCAGCCGATCCTGATACTGGAGACTGCCTACCCGTAAATTGCCGCATGATTCGAAGGATACTCCGTCAATCTTCGGACCATTTTCAAGTCGTCAGAATTTCTGTTGAGTCTTTTCAGGAGTAATAAAATTGAAATGAGGATGGATTTGTGCGCTGGTGGGGTTGGTAGAACCTTGACCGGGCGCAAACATTACGCGTCAACTCTCAAGGACAATAACTCTGGCTTCAGATAATCACTTTCTGTCAGTTGGACTTGCAGATTACACTGAAGTGCATTCTGAACCTCCTCTGGGGCCAAGAAGATCGTCAGTTGGAGTACGACAGAGTCATGGAACTACACTCGAAAATGAACCACGGCTGCCATGTGAAGTTTCCCATCAACCTTCCATTCACTGCGTACGGGAAAGCTTTGAAAGTGAGTCACGCCATTTCGCCTTTAACTAGTCCCATTTTATTAGACTTCTTCATTGGGATTTACCCTCCATCTTGTTCTCTCTCGCTGTTCATGCACATCAATCAACTGTTTTAGACCCGACGCCCTTATTTGAGTGATTTGAACGGGGGACTTGGTCAGACCTCTCTCTGGTCATTGCCATCAAAACACCAACTCATGTCAAGCACCCTGAGTTTGTTCGCATGCCATTAAGCGAGATGCATGCTCTGAAGCAAACGTCTCTTCGAATGTAGTTCCATTAGTGAAGACTTCGTTACTTTTCTACAGCAGAATTTTTCATTTCCGAGTATTATGAAAAACTTGTGTTTCTCAATCCTGACGCTCGTTAACGGCTCTTTGTTGGAACCACATATAGGCTAAAAGAGACATAACAGACCTCTTGAAAGAGAAACTCAAGCAGTTGCGAGCTTCAAGGAGTCAAGATTATTGTTGCATGAGCTCAGTAATATTTTCGGATGGAGAGAATGGCCTGACGGATGCCCAAGTCAGTTCATTAATGCTCACTTTGATCTTTGCCGGTTATCGCACCACAGCCACAGTGCTGGTGTGGGTCTTCAAATTTTTGAGTGAGAACTCCAAAGCGCTTGAGGAACTGCAGGTAGGTATCTTCGCAGCCCTCTGAAGTTTGAATGCAATTCTTCGCCGTGGCTTCAGAAAAATCGGAAGAACGTAGTTTTCCTCTTCCTTCATCCCGTCTGTCCCTTCTTGTTAATACCGTTGCTGTATTTCTTCTGTCCACGTGAGGGCTCATCACAAGCTCCCAAGCAGATGATGAATTCGAAATTCTACTGGAACTGCGTCTGGACTGCAGGATGCTTTCTTGGAGCAAGGATTGTTCTCATACTTCATGTTGTTCGTCATATCGATGTTGATCAAGTGCGGGTACAAAATGTCTGACATTTAGGCCCTCGCCCTGATCGAAATCTATGCCCACGAGCATTTCAACCTTGAACATAAGTGTAGCTGATGACTAACTAAATTCTCTCGGATTCAAGTGGAAAGTGAAGCAGGTCGTTTAGGCAGTGAGTAGAGTTGCTGTAAGACAACTGGTTGGTAAACTTCACAAACATCGATCACCTCCAAGCTCAAAGCCCAGCCTCATGAATATGGCTGAAGGACATGGCGGCTGTGGATAAGCCCGAAAATATCAACTAGAACTTGGGTCACACACCGCAACTCGGACATGGCAAACTTTATTTGCAATCCACTCCGTCCACACATATATCAAGACTCCACTAATTATCTGATTCTGTTCAAATATATACTCCCATGAACAGGCTTCTCCAGGTTTTTCATTTCTCATGAAGTATTGAAGTCATATTTTTATGGTGGCTGAAACAGATGGAGCACGATGCCCTTTCCCAATCTCGAGAATCTAACGGGACGCCTTTGACATGGGCTGATGTTAAGCGAATGCCATACACTATGAAGGTCAGTCAAAATGGACTTCGTGAGAAGCTGTATCTTGAGGCAAAGATCATGATTGTACTCATCGGCATTTGAGGGAAGATATTTAGAATCTCTTTCAAACGCTCTTACTTGAGTGCAGGTTATCCAGGAGACGTTGAGACTGGCCCCAGTTGTAAAATTCATGCCCCGTGTGGCTCTTGAAGACGTTCAGTTCAAAGGTAATATTGACTTACCTACGCATTTTGGAGGAGCTATCTTAGATCTTGAAAAGATGCTTTTCACGTATAACAAGTTGTATGTAGGTTTGAGATGAAGAAATTTTGAAATGAGGGCCTGAAATTTGATAGAGCCTGTATAATCACCGTGAGCGGAAAGTTAAGCTCTCTGTTTTCTACCAAGGCTCATGATCTGTACCTGGTTTTGTCGGCCTCAAGTCTTTGAACGGGGGCTGACCGTAAGAAATGTAGCTTCTAATAATTCCGTAGTTCTGAACTCCGTAAGCAGGGTATGTCATCCCCAAAGATTGGTCACTTGGTGTCTCGTACGAGTTTCACAAGGACCCAGCGTTCTTTCCGGATCCTCTCACCTTTGATCCTAGCAGATTCAATGTAAGTCCTCTTTCAAGGGTGAAGAAAATTGCGTCATTCCTTTAGTCTAGATTTGGGAGAGCTCCGGGGTTTTGGAGGTTAGTTCCTGATAGTTTCAGGATTTGAGATGGGCTTAAGACGCCGAATCTATAATCTGGTACACTGCTTTGTAGATACAACACAGGTTTTGACATGTCCTTAACGCGTCGCATACATCGCAGGAGCCAATTAAACCTGGTGTCTTCATTCCATTCGGTGCGGGTGCACACATTTGTGTAGGATATGAGTTTACCAATGTACTCCTACCTGTCATTATCCATCGAGTTGTCTCCACGTACAGGTGAAGGAGCTCTTTTATGTTTTATGTGTTTGATCTTCCTTTTTCTACATGTGTACTGAATGTTCTTTCGAGGAAAGAACTTTTAAGTATCATTGTCGACTTCTTCGATAGATGTGAGGACGATTTGTTCCATCATCACAGAAACTACAACAAAAATTTTGTATGAAATTTGTGCAGCTTCGAACCACAAGGACCAGATGGTGTGGAGTTTTGGCCTCAGTACGGTCCTAAAGGTGGACTTCCGATGAAAGTCAAGCTACGTGCAGGAAAATGTTTGTGAACTCGTGACCAATATTGAGGAGTTTAAGGCTTGCCCCTGTATAGTGCCAGATGAGGGGCGCGAACGGCGACCTTTCGAAACAAGACATCTTCCTGAGGACATTGGGAAAACTTCTATTTTTCGCTGTTGTGGTTCGAATGGCATATAGTTTTCTTTCTGTAAATATGTTAAAAAAAATAAATCATTAACACCTGGTTACATTGCTGAGTGTTGTTCGAGAGAAAAAATTATTCACGATTCAGTGTAAGTGCAGTATCGAAAGGTCAAGTAAATGTTAATCCAAATGACCTGCATTTTCTCTTCACGACTGATGTAAGTACGCTTCAAATGACTTTCTCAGCGGACTCCTTTCTGTTTCTGTGGCTCTTCAGAATCTGATGACTTTATCCATCCTTGTTCTGTCTCATCCACGAACACAATCTTTGAAAACTATCATCCACCACCAGATGAACGATCCTCGGAACATGTTTCACAAATCGATCAAGCGGGATATCAGTCGGGATATCAGTCGGAAAGACTTCGAGCAGCACTACACACGCTCTTGTTCATTCTAATCTTTTTAAAGTCCTGCACTGTAGTGGCGTGCAATCGGTGGGCATTCAGCCTGATGCCGTGTACTCCGTAAGTCTAACGAATCATGCTATCCGGTGCACCGAGTAACTGCGGGTCGATCGTCAGCCCTTCCCGGTTTCTCGTTGACAGCCTTGAGATGGTGCTGCATCCGAAGTTGCACAGCCGGGGGCAGTTACTAGTCTTTGTCGATTGCTTAATATATTCATTCATTGAATACGTCCCATAGAGACAGAATTCGGTGCCTGGAGTAAGGAACGGGAAGGTTTGAAGTGGCTCCAGATGGAAAACTTGATTACGACATGATGCTTAATTTGCGTCGTGGAGAAGCAAAGTAAGGATCATCTTTCCTGGCGTAACTTGGTTTGCAGTACATGTGGCATCTCAAAATGCCCAGCATCCTCGAAATTGAGTCCAGCCATGGTGACGGGGTTCCGCTCATCGACCTTCATTAAGAACAGCGGGGTCACTATATTTCGGCACCTTTCCTGCGAAGAGGTCAACCAACGTCGTTGCGAGTTCTCGGAGGTTTCTTCATTGGGCAGCGTGTGAGGGTGGCGAGTTGGTTCACTGCAAGTGTTGATCCAAATTATCTTGGCTTCGGTTGCGAAGAGGCTCTGGCCTCAACAGCAGCCATGACGAGTTCCTCGGCGCCGTTGCGGTTCCTCCGACGACTGCCGCGCCCTATCTCTTCGCCATTGAGAGTTGGATCGGTGCAGTTCTCGTCTCTCTCCGAGAACGAGTTGTCCGCTGTCGCTGCCAGTGTAGAGAAGGGGAGCAAGAAAACCGGTCCGCCCGGGAAGAAGACTATTGCGGAGAGGATTCTGACCGTCTGCGACAAGATCTATGAAAGACATCAACCACCAGCGCTCCGCCGCGGGGCTCTAATCAACACTTCGGACCCAGCTCGGTAATTCACCCCGTCATGTCTCAATTCATGTCGATTCATCGTCAGATACTTGGATTTTAGAGGAAGTTTACACCTCTTCATCTCTTGCGAGCACCGTTTTTGAAATATTGGGATGATTATTGACCTTCGAATCTGCTTAGACAGTAGAGCCCTGAAGGAATTCCGAAAAAAATTGACTAGCTGATGATATGACCTGCTTATGGTCTAGAGCTAGTGATTGATGTGAGTGCAGTTTCGCTATCGTGAGTGCTTGATTGCGAAATGTGTATCTTTATACAATTTGGTCTTTACATATGGAGATCATCAGTGAGAATCTAGATGGAAGTATGTGGGTCTTGAATGTGTTCGTTCTCTCTTCAATGATTCGTCGGCCTTGTGGAGACTGCGGGGCGTTTAGCAGATGCGTTTATGTTTGCATTCGAGCACTAGGGTTTTTTATAGAGAACAAGACTGCTGTTTGATAAATTTATCAAACAGCAGTCAAGCATTTGCTTTTCAGATGCTTTACAACCTTTTGCTTTTCACTTTACCGATCATGATGTTCTTATGGAAGTCGTTTGACATAATGTGACAGTGTGGACATAGACATCATGAATGTTGCAGAACAGAGAATCATGCAGTCTGTGCTTAGAGGTGGATTTGAGAATCTTCCGGGAAAAGGAAAGCCGCTGAAACTTGAAAACAATCTGCACGCAGATCCTGCTGAAGACTTGGCCTACAGAATTCTGGCAAAGAATGGCTTCGCTCCCGAGTGGGTGGAGCTCAACAAGGAAATCAGATACAAAGTTAGGAGATGGCGCATGGCGCTGGAACTAGCTTGGCAGAGAAGGTCGCAAGCTATCTCTGGTGGAGAAGCCCAGCCTGACGGTTTGAATTGGGAGTCCCTTCTTCCAGGCTTTGAGAATGAGCTGAAAGAGATCAATCAAAAGGTGATCATTTTACGCCGTTGAGCTAAACCCTTACCTCTCTTATTCACTCCCAGAGTTTTCCAACCGAAGTCCTTATGTCAACACTGTGCCCAGTAAAAGTTAATGGGTTTTACTCAGTGAAGACATTGGGGTCGGGTTAGTATCTAGTTCCTCATGTTTCGTTTCCTATACGGTGAGTGGCAGCCTCTGTATGATCCTTGGCTGCATCTTTTTCGTTCGATTCGTATGTTGCATTTGATCCATTAGTCTTGCGACTGCACGCAATCTGCTCTTTCACGTTAAGAGGTCGATGGTATGCTCAGAGTTGGAAATGGACGTCGATTTTTTCATCTATGTATATGATGCATGGTTTGAATGTTCGCCCTCTCTGTCGCATATTGTAGTCTTTCTGTGCTTTACCGACTTGCATCACCGGCTTTATCCATATCTGAGAATTCTCAGATTGGATGAAGCCGGTATTATTGATTACCTTTGAACAAACTTCGTTGTGTTCTTTCTGGCAACAAAGTTTCTCTTGCATGTTTCAAAACTTGCCAACTGCTCATGCGTTTGCATAGGCTTAGTGAGTTGAGCACATGAGCTGCTGGAGTTGCTGCGTTAATTGCGCTGATGTGTTCTATCCTGTTGAGTTGCAGGTGATGAGATACAACTTACTAGTTCCTTTCGGACGGCAGCTTAATGGCTACAAACTCGAAAGAGAAATCAAAATGTTGCGGGAAGCAGAGCCAAATGAGAGTCCTACACCGTAACTCAGTTTATAAAAGACCTCAAGTCTTATAACTCAATTAAAGAGTATGCACGATCATTAGAATTTTCACAAGACTCTCTTGATTTTATTCCCGGAAAGCGGGACACAATTGTTACCAACTCGAACTGCAAGTCAGTACATTGTATGTAGCACCTCTTCGGAACTCGAGATCGGGATGTTGTTTTCATTCCAGTCTACATTTAGATTGAGCGAGGTGTGTTACTTTTTCTGACATCTGCGTAGATGCTTACCCTGCTTCCGGGGAGTTGTGGGGGCGAACTACTTTCAGACGTATGTGGCCTCAACTTCAGAAAATCCTTCACATACTTGGAGAGTTGTACGTTACAACGTATGTTCAAGTAGATACCATGTGTTATCAAAACTCTTTACGAGGTAGAGCGACGATGTTAATTATACTTATATTAAATATGTCAATCTTTATCTCAAGTTTCACAATCTTCCTCGATCTTTCATGGTCCTCATAAGGTCCCATGTTTCTCGATCAAATATCCTTCCTTTCTGAGCTGTTAACTGCCTTTTTCCTTTGTACTTCTACCTACAGTAACAGGATTATTTCTGACTCAGTTTACCGTGGTTGTTGTTGGGAAATGTACAACGGTTCAATCCAAGTATATGGTGAAGACATTGTTGTTGGTTCTGCTTTATGGCTACACACGTTTTGCGGAAATGTAGCTGAGCTTAGGGCACGAAGAGTTTCGACAAGCTGTACACACATCAGCTTGTAGCATTCTTAGATAGTCGAGAGTTCTTGCCTGAAGATAAGTAAAAGTTAGTGGAGCATCGGGGTTGCAATGATGACCTTTACAATGGTGAGATTCTGAGGAAGTGAAGCTGAACGGAAGGATATATAACATAAACTATATCAGGGCGCTTTCTGTCCATGATGAAGTTCGTGAGTCTAATGAAGTTGGGGACGAAGTAGTATGTAAGAAAGGCCAGAGAAGTAAAGGTGAAGTGACGTGAAGAGATCCCACAAGTTCTATACGACAATGTACCTAACAATCTTGTAGTTAGTTATATGATGCAGCAAGACAATGTATCTAACAATGTTGTAGTTAGGTATATGATGCAGCAAGACGTACAGATAGAAATTCTGATTTGGGGTTTCCAACATGTCAGTCTAGGCTGTGAAGACTGTCCTTCACCAGCAATAGCTTTTTCCTGCCAACTCAGTACCTTGCATCTGATAGGTCTTTGCACTTTTGTTCCGTCACGTACTATCCTTGTACTATATCATACCTAGGGGAAAGCCTGCGCCAAAATTGTGAGATAATGTAGCATGAAGTTACCTTACTTGTTTCGCTTGAAAGCCTAAGCCTTGTCCAAAGTCCCATTTTGCCATTCCCTTCGTACGAAATCCTCAAGCCATCAAGCGAGTTTTCACGAAAACGTCGAAAATGGCACAGCTTTCATGGGAAGTCCTAGAACTACCACCGTACGGGGCCGCAAAAGTCATCAGGCACATGTCTGTTCAGTGACCCTTTTGCCCTCCTTTTTATCCACTGCTTGTGTTCATTACATACCAAAAAGGTCCTCCTCAGGTTTGACATATCCTTGATTCTTGCAATGATCACATGGGCAGAGACTTAAATAGGTATCTGATCATTAAATCTGGTAAATTCCTCTTGCTAGGGCTCGCCCAAAACTCGTGAAGTTGACATAGAAGTTGACATTCAGTGTAGCCAAAACAAGTGGCTCGGAAGCCGGTTCCAAAAGTATCCTTAACTTCCAAAATGTTGCTGCGCAGCATCGGGACGAGACGGGACGGATTCCCAGCCTTCACCCCTCGCAACGAGTGTGGATAACAATATGGTCGATATTGGCCGTTCAACGTGAGCATGGGAGAAAGCTGGCAAATTTCACGTAGTTGTAAATCGCTCTCACCCAGCAACTTCTGAGGTCCCTGGGCAGCGAGAGGCGGAAGGGCAGAAGAAAGCTTCCATGATGCAGGGAATCTTCAGATCAGATTATAAGATCCCCTACTCACCCCTCCAAAATGTGAGGACTTTCTATTTTCTCTGTACCGTATCGAGCGTAGGATTCGCAGAATTTTCCGGAGGTAAGAAAGGACGAAAACTCAACGAAGAGTGGAGCGGATCGTGGTGAGGTTTAGTGGAGACAGACGACAAAATGCCGTGTTTGCAAGCACAGTATCGGGTTGGGGATTCTGAGCTGAGACTTCGGGCTCCGGAAATAGACTGGCCTCCTGCTATCACCTTTGCTTAGTTGTTCCAGGGCCAAAAGTGCCCACAATGCCTGCCATGTCTTGTGCTCAGGACACCGTCACTGTTACTACCAGACCCACAGTGTTTTTTGCTCTGTAGGCCTACTTTCTCTCCGAAATGTCAGTTTCCCCGACCTCCCCTCGTTTACTGCCGTCCTTCTCTATCCTTTCACAGCTAGCTGTCACTTACACACGCTTTCACCATCCAAATCTAGTCGCCATCATAAACCCTCCATAGCTTAGGCGGTGCAGTCCGCTCTCTTTGATTGTGTATCACCTTCCCAGGCCCCGTCGGTCAGAGTTCACCAGCTTCGTCTCTGGACGCTTTTTCGACTTTCTCTTCTTCCAGAGTTGATCATAACCTCGAGCTTTGAAGTGGCCGAGTCTCTGCGAGTAGTGCAGACAGAACCACTTCCGTCTGTCGCACCTGGACGCTCCAAAACATCCGTTCCGCTTTGGAAATTCGGAAATTTTGCATATTCTCCCCCGTCTTGCACGAGCTCAAAAGACGTATTGTCTGTTAGGATCTCTCATGGATTCCATGGCGATCTCGACCACTTGGACTCTTGCTGCGTTCAATTTCTCTTAATGAGCCGGATCGCTGAAATGTATAAAGGACCATTCTGAACGCGAGAGCTATCTCCATCTTGCGTGACTCCGATTCCGAGTAATTTGAGCTAGATGTTACAATCTTTCGACTCCATGTTGTGAACAAATCTCTACTATTTTGACAGAATTTTGAAGGACGATGTTCATCTCGCCGATACTTTTCATGTTTGGATCTAACAAAATTCTTGCAATTTCGTGAAATTTATAGATGGTTTTATCCATCATCTATGGAATTCTTTTCATTCATATAGATATTTTAGCAAATTATATACCATATAATCTGCATAAAAAGCATAATCATTTTCATGAGAATTAACTCATATAAATTACCATAGAGTGAATTATGGAAAAAGTTTCTCATGTTCTAAAATGAAATCAAACTGAATCCACACCTTAACTCTGCGGAATACATTGGTACTAAACCTGACATTGTAAATTTATTGTACTTCTTCGTTAGAATTCTCCCCTAGTTTGTAAACCCATTTATTTTCCACTTTTATGCTTTTGATGTTTTTCCGATTTCCAACTCTTGTTATCAATGAATGAACCATTTCTCCTCAATGCTTCCTTCCATTCAAGTCTATCCGACAAATCTGGAAATCACCGTGTGAAAATTCTTCATTTTTTTAAAGATCAAATATATACCATCTTCATCAATAAAGAAATCGATACTGTTAACTTATTTTAATCGATTCAATTGTTTAATCATTATATTTCACAATTAAAGAATCCATGCATTCTCTTTGTTGATGAATCGCTTGATTTTAATGTGTTTGTGAGTTGAGAGCTTTGTTAGTCTTCTCAGGATTTTCAACTTACTCAATTCAAGGATTTTATTCTTTTGAAGTAGCATCTTGTTTTGATTATAATGAAGAATACATTATTCATAGTTATCTCAACAGTATTTAAAGGAAATATTTTCACTCCAATACATTGAATTCAGTTTTTTTTAATCTTGTTTGATGATGCTGATAGATTCAATAGACCATCTCTAATAATCATATTAAAAAAAAAAAATTCTTCTAATATCAAAGATATATATGTGATATTTTTCAATAAGCTTACAAGATCATTAAACACCTTAATCTTCACATAATTTACGTTGATTGACAACATGGTCCATTTTAGTTTTTTTTAATCAAAATTTAATTCTCTGAAATAAATAAAACTTCTTTTTTTCAAAAACACATATTATGTACCAAATTCTAATGTAAATATTAGCGTTTTAATAAAAATAAAATAAAATTTCTTGTTTTGCTGCAACAAGATATTTTTATATTGTCAGTTTTATCAATCTTTCAATCACATCTAGTTTATTTTGAAATAATTTTTTTTCGATATTTGTCATTTTTTGAGATTTTTCACAATTATAAAAAATCGTTGTGCTTGATGAAATGATGGTTAAGAACATCATTTGTTTGTTGAAGATCATATGATAGTCACTATTCAAAAATTTATTTTAAGTGAATATAGTTCTATCACAACAAATATCACTTGTTATAAAGATTGATATATAATAGAAAGAAAACTCAATATCTGAAATAATATTTTTTTATGATTAAATGTTTCATCAAGACTTTGCAAATTCACAATAATCAATGAACTCATGTATATTTGATTAATTATCTTTTCTAGTTGTTCATGAACTTCAAGAATATTTATAATATATATGCTAATGTCAATGCTAGAATACAATACATTAAAATTGTAGACAACTCATTTTATGATGAATTGTGCAAAATGTATCATAAGAATAAACTCAAATTTTTTACCTATTCAACTACTTGATAACTTAAAAATGTAAAAATAAAATATGTATTTTATAATTATTTTTTATTTCACTTAATTTTTAACAAAAAATTATCTTTTCAATATCCTAAAGTTTGATTATGCTTGTCACGAGCAAAATCAAAATGCACTCAAACACACGGTGAATCCAGGTGTAGGTTTCAGTTCACATTAATATTATCGGCCCTAATCTCACTCAGCCATCAGATCATAAACGCCTGGATCGATCAGCACTTGTGGACACCTTCACTCTCCTGATCACAACTCGGCACTCAAAGTCAGTCGACGCTCCCAGGCCGAGCTCTTCCCAGTGAAAACTGATTTACCTCTCCAGTTAACACTCTCTCTGACGCTTAAACCCGTCAATACTCTCATGCCAAGCTCATTCCTCTCCTCGTCCATTCCCTTCATTCGGGGATTCTCTCCCTTCTCACCTGCGAAAATTCTCTGCCTTCACCTCTTGGAAAAATCACTCTCTTTTTCCTCTCTCGGAATTTCTCACTTCTCCCTACAAAATCACTCTTTCTTTACTCTCTGCAACCAGACGGATCCAACTGGTGTCCTCATCCTCAACGGCAGCAGTAGCAACTTTGTCCTTATAAGTACACTTCAACCGCTCCGCTCGAATCAACGCTGAACATCCGCATTTCTCCCTCGATTGACTTCCCTCCCCCCCCTTGGACCCACGCCGCCCAGAGCCTGTGGCCGCAGGTCCTAGAGCTCTCATACTCTCGTCAGATGCCACATGGCAGTAGCTGAAGATCGCCGCCCAACAACACTCACACAATGGGCGACACCTGGCAGCAAGGACAGTTAGCCGCCACCGCATCGCTGCTTGGCCGCCAGATGGACCACCCCCTTGCATCGCCGCCCCGTCCACAACGGCCTGCAGC